CTTGCCATCTTCATATCGTTTGATATTGCGAAGAGAATGCCAGTGGCGAATATGGCGCTCAGTCCAACACTTGTAACCAATATCGCATCGTATCTGGGGGCATGTGCTGACGGGCATTTCCAGCTTCCGCGTAGCCGACGAGGCGCCGTATTCCGCCCTCTGGATACTCTTCTTGCGGTTGATCTTCTCGAGGCGGGCGCCCCCGCAAACGCTCCCTCCTCGGGGGGGCGCCAGGTCTATTGGTCCGCCGTGGAGGGGTCTTTGGAGCCCCCGCGCCAGGAGGATGAGGACGCTGAAGGCCGCTAGAGCGAGCGCCACTGGAGCGCGCGCGCGAGTGGGTGACGACTGGGAAACCGACGCGGCGTGCCAGACGAGCGTCATCTTCCCATTTTTCGTCGTCATCATCGGCGCTGTACCTTTTCCTCCGGGCCTGGTCGCTTACCGATCGTCCCTGGCGGCTCATAGAGCGGTCAGAAGCGACGAATGTGCATTGAAATCTTTCCAAGCTGATATTGAATGTGCTCAGACAGATCACTAACGTCTCGCGGGTTTCCCCGCAAAGGGTCATCATCGCTCAATTCCATGTTTGTCGGGTCTCCAAGGGCCCGAGGGTAAAGCGTCAATTGTATTTCCCCTTCTGTTACAGGAATAGTGACTTCTGAATGCGCGGGCGCCCCCGCCATGTCGGCACCTCCTTCGGCGGGCGCGTGGAAGTTCTCGACCAACTCAATATCTGTATGTTGCCCCGCGATGGGTATGCCCAGCCAGTCTGCCAGGTCGATGTCGTTGTGGCCATTGAACACCTCCTCGATTAGCTCGTCGGCGTAATTCTCGAGGGACAGACTGGCACTCAGATATCTGGCAGCCATGAAGTTAACAACTGCAGCCGAGCTATCGACGGGGTCGGCTAACAGAGACCCCCAGTCAACATACGGCATGTCAGAGTCAGTTTGAGCCAGATGCATCGACGGACCCCTGCCTCTCCCATCGCCTTGAGGGCATTCGCGGCGAAAGTGCTGCGTGCCATGGCATATTACACTCCATAGTCTTACCATTGGCATCCTTCGGGTTCCCTCGACGTCCCTTACCCTTCCAAATGCATGCCTGCGATTCCTGCCTGCATCTGAAAATATATCTTCATGCAGTGGTCCTGTAAGGGGTGCTAGGAATGCTAGTATGCCTCCGCCGTGTAATCGCCGAAGCATACCTTTACCCTTACCTCGACCCATGCCTTCTCTTTTGAGTGCTCGTCGTGCGATGCGCCGTACCTTACTGACTGGCCTCTTCATGAATCGCCTCCATCTGCGCTTATGTTCTTGGTGCCCTCAAAAATAACCATTGCGCCTGATGCTCTCCCGTGACGTATGCAGGCAGATCGGAGTAGTCAAGGGCCGTGACCTCGTCGTCCGAAGACGCATCGGTGCCCGTGCCGGAGTCGAAGTCGGACTCGGCAGGTTGCCCCGCTGAACCCAGTAGGGTCGCGGCCTGCGTGGGGGGGGGGCGGCCCCCGAAACCTGGCCCAGGAGTCTTGCGACCCCGAGGCCGATCCACCGTCCTGAGCCAGTAGTGTAGTGGTCTCAGTTGTCATTCCAGACGTTATTAGCAGGCTGCCCTGCGTGTGCCTCGACGTGGAAAGTCTCGGTTCGGTGGCCGTGGCTGAAAAATACCACCAGTATTACCAGGGGTTCTCTCAGCAATGAGAGCATATGACGTCATGCGTTCGAATGGAGCGTCAAACTGTTGTTGGTCTCTCGGCGCGCGGTCGTTTAGAGGCGATAGGAGTTGCTGCGCGCGCGATGTCCCCACCCCAAGAGCCCCAAATATAATGTCTGTTAAGATTTGGAAGTGAGGAATGTTATAGCCTGCCGTTTCAGCTTCATAGCGGGCTATCTCGAAGCGTGATAACGTCTGGTCGATTTGTTCTCCCGCATGGGCTCGGAAGCCAATGAGAGGTGTACCAGAGTTGAATTGGCGCTCCTCTTCTATATTCTCGAACTTCGTGCTTAAGAGGAACGCGATGTAGGTGGCGCCGTCGGTAAGGCGGCCACCTAGGTTAACGCCAAAGATGATAACTGATGGGGGGGGCTCTCATGGCTATGGTCCGTGCGAGACCTCCCAAACCTCGCTGCAGGGCTGCAGCTTGCTGGGAGGGCGTCATGTTGCCTGTGGTCACCTTGATCCAGGCATGTACTTCGCGGGCGAATTCGCGAAAAGGTACCTGACCGGCTGGGTCCCAATGAGGGCCGGTCGTTCTTGTGCCGCCTCCGCGACGCATATGCCTACCGCACACCCGATAGCGACCCATGTGAACCCAAAAATAATAACAGAAATCCAATGGCCTCGTGGGCCGTAGTCGGATGTAGTCGGTTGGGGCGTCCGATGTGTGGTCTTTTTGCGTGGGGGTGGAGGCGGCTCCGTATCGTATCGCATGTTTCCATGCATTACGTCTTCGAAGAAGTTTCCAATTGGATTAAGTGGGTGGACTTCAGGAGTGTAGCAGCGCAGGGATATAGGACAAAAGTAAGAGGCCTCCGCGTAAGCAGAGGTGTCACTGCAAGTGTCTTTGCTATACTGCGTAGTTATATACATTCCTCCGCGCACGCCCAGTGCACCGTGATGTTCCACCATATCTGTAGTCCACCAGATAGCGCCGTGGATGGTGAGGAGTAGAGCCTGAGCTGACCACCGTAGGCCAGCTCCGCTACCAAGTTTGAAAGCGGTTGGGAGGCCCAACCAGCAGCTTCGCCTTAGGCGAAGCCCAGCCCCAGTTCTGTTGTACCGTAGTAGCGATAGTCCCAGTAGTGGAGGGCGTGCCATCTAGTACTGCCTCACAATGAGGAAGTACTGGATGGCACGCCTCGATGGCGAATCGTATGCCTCACAATGACGCGCAATCACATTTGGGCGGCCGGCCGCTTGAGCCGACACGACTCCCTGTGTCCCCCAGCTCGCTTTAGAGTTGTAGACATGGCGTGACGCGGGCGCTTTGCTCGCACAGCGCAAATACAGACCTGCGGGGTACCAATCTCCGCGGACACCAACGGAGAACGATGACGAGGAGTGCTGGACAAAGAGGGCCAGCCAATGACTGCAGCGTCCAGAAACATAGCAAGACGGATGCCGAGATGTGGTAACAAAATGTTTGACGAGGTCGACTGAGACAGAGGCGGATATGGAGACGGTGGCGGAGACGCAAATGGACACGGACACGGCGACGAGGACAAAACATATATAGTTCCAAACGCAGGCGTAAGTCAAACGAACCAACTTGAGAGAACACACGCATGTGAAAATCCCACCAGCCCTCTGGGCGTAGGTGATTTAACGAATTTTGTGTTCTCTCCCCCTCCTTCCCCTGTTCTGCTCCAAGACGGCCGTCGGCAGCCCAAGGCGGCCTCTAAGATTGCTCAAAATAGCCGACGGTGAGTCAATATAGCATCCGACATGCCTCCAAAAGGCCCCAAGACAGCCCCAAGACGGTTCCAAGTGCACTTCGAACCTCCCAAGGCACCGTCCACGAGGCTAACATCCTTCAAACACTTAAGGAACATCAATATGGTTTGCCTTCTCGCCTTTTCGGTTCCGATGGGCTTCCGGAACCTCAAGATGGCCTCAAGATGGCCCGACAGAGTCCCAAGAGGGGCTCAGAGCGCCCCAAGAGAGCCCCAAGAGCGCCCAAGAGACGCACAAGAGAGGCCCCAGATGGCCCTAAGAGGCCATTTCTGAATCTCCGAAAGGGGGGAAATCCAAGAAACCCCCAAGACCTCCCAAACCTCTCCAATGAGCTCCAAAACAGCCCCAAGATCCCCCAAACGAGCCCCAAGAGGGCCCCTAGAGTGCCCCAAGGGGCCTCACGGGGACCCCAAGAAAGTCAGTAAGATGGCCATGGTCGTCCATAAAGAAGCTCTTCCAACAATATGTCTCAACGCCAAAACTTCTCATCCTACTTGTCATCGTCCGTTCCTGCCCTCCTGGTTTCCTGCCTCCTCCCTCCTCCGCCTCCGCCTCCTCGTCCTCCTCGTGCCGCGTTCCTTTCCTCCTCCTTCTCCTCTTATTCCCCCTCTTCCTCCTTCTCTTTATTTCCTCCTCCTCCTCCTCCTCCTCCTCCTCCTCCTCCTCTTCCTCCTCCTACCCCCAAGACGGTCCCCGGAGGTCGAGCATGGCTGAAGATAGCCTCCGACAGACCTCCAAGAGGCCTGACAACAGCCTCACTATGGCCCAAAATAAGTGAGCATGGCTCAAGAAGATAGCGTCCGACAGCCCCTGGCCGAAGATGGCTCAAGATAGCCTTCAAGAGGCCTGAAGAAGCCTCCGATCGTGTCTGGATGGGCTGGTGGGTTTTTTTTTTTTAAGCAGCCGAAGGCGAGCGCGCCAACGGCGACTGAGGTCCGAGCGGGCCGCGCGTGGGCCTAATTACCTAGCAATGGGCAGAGCAGGACCTACCGCCGAAGCCTCAGCACTGGAGCAGCAAGAGGGGCCGGGGAGGAGGGGGCTGCGAGCTGCCGGGGCTGCCAGGGGGCTGCAAGCGTGCGACAAGCTGAGAGCAGGGCCACCAGGTGTGAATTGAACTGCAGCGAATTGACCAACCGCGGTTGGGTCGCAGCCAAAATGGCGCGCCGCTCTGCCAAGGTGTGACCAGGGGGAAGCCAGCCGGAACACGGAGGAGACGGCCAGGGGTGCCCGACAGGACCCAGACTGGTGCACTGGGTGGCGCCACCAAAGTCGCACACTAACCCCGGAGACGCACTGGTCCTGCGAGCGTCCGACCACGGAGGCGCCGGACACGGGCGAGGCAGCCAAGGGAACGATGGAGGAACGCGAGACCGTCGGCGCCTGAGCTACCGGACCAGGGGATGCCACGCGCACTCTCATGCAGTCACCGCCGGCTGAGGACTGCCCGACCATGGAGACCCAAGCCTCAACGACGGATCGAGGTAGCGGTGGGGATACGCGAAGCG